TACAACTAATTTAATATAAAAATTATTCAAATTAGAAAGATTGGAATTTAAATGTCAAAAAATAAGTATTAATCTAATTGAAAAAATATAATAAAAATCAAAGTTAAATTAAAATTAAAGTTAAATATATCAAAATTAAAAAATACTGTAACATGATGAAAAAATTTAATACAATTATTAAACTGAAAAGAAAATTGAAAAGTAAATAAAACTAGAAAATTATGATTATGATTACGGACATTATGCTCAGAATTATTATACAAATCAATTGTTTCATAATTATCTATATTATCAGAATAATGAAGTTGAAAAGTATAAATTTTTATACTTTGTTCATAAAATGTTTTGTTTGATAATTTCATTATAATTCTTATAATGAAATCAGATTTTAATTTTGGTTATTACAATTGTTTCTATACTAAATCTAATCCCATGTGACATGAAAATAGTAAAAGAGCCGAATTTTTGAGGAACAAAAAAAACATTGCATGTCACGTCTATTCTGTATTTCATCTGTGCCTTCTTTCACTTTTTATGGTAAATGAATTTGTTGTTAGATTTTGTTGATGATTTGTATTCATGTATACATTTTATAGTGTTATTTTTTCATTGTCAATGTATCATCATCAATAATGATAGTAATTATTATTTTTATATATAATATATATATATAATAATTTTCTACATATATCAAGGTATGATCAAAAATATATTTACGGTAATAAAAATATAATAAATAATCAAAAATTTTATGTTGTTGTTCCAATGCATGAATGTATAAATATAAAAATTATTTTAAACACTTTTCTGTTATATCCAGTTTTATTATCTATGGCGAAGAGCGCTACTATACGATTAAAAATATCACATAAGTACGTTCATTGAGTGACTTGCATTCCATCTGTAAAGTTGCATTTTTTTGAGCTTTCACGTGTCTATATTACGTGTAAAAGTACTTTAAATATGGAAAAAGATTTGTTACGATCCCTCGATCTATTAAAAGAAAACGATGAACAGGTACGAAATGACGCAGAAAATGCATTATTAACTGTTTGTCAAAATATTTTATTACATCCAAATGATAAAAAATTTCGAGAAGTAAGGCTTGATCATCCACTAGTTACAACAAAATTACTTCCAGCTCTTGGAGCTATTGAATGCTTATTCGATATTGGTTTCGTCGAGGTAATAATTTATAAAAATAATAGTATGGATTGTAAATGTTACAAATTTTGAACAATAATATGTTTTTTTTTTCAATAGACTACTGACTGTCTTTCTTTACCTCCAGAAGCGCCACTTTCAAAATTACAAACTCTGCAGAAATTGCTTAATAAAAATTCTCTTTCAAAAATACCTATTGTTAAAAATGCAGCATTGTATAATTTGATGCCTCTAACATATACAGGAGAAGAGAAGAATTTTTTCAAATCTATCATAGATAATTTTCAGAGTGTTTTGCGATATGAAGATGCAAATTTGCAAGAAAAAGCTAAAAAAGTAATACCTATTGTAGACCTTGAAATTGCTACTATGACAAGAATTAGGCAATTGCATAAGTAATAATTTATTATTCAAAGATTTTTTAGTACGGTAAATTTATTTTTTTTAATTAAATTCTTTATTTTAGACACATTAAAGTAAATCAAACTTGCTCAGAAAGTGGTATTATGAAACACTACAGTGAAGATGATATTGATGATGCTAAAGATTTATTTCTTATGGAGTTGTTGCATTGGTTTAAGTATAAATTCTTTACATGGGTTGATAGTCCAAAATGTACTGCATGTTTTTCAGAATGCAAACAACAGGAAGTAATATTATCTGATGATCCTAGATGTTCACGAATAGAAATACATAAGTAATTTAATACATTTTAATTATAAAAATAATTATAAAAATAATACTTGTTGAAATGTAATTATTAATATTTATTAAATATTATTTTAGATGTACTAAGTGTGCAACTCGAGTAAAATTCCCTCGTTACTCTGATCCAGAGCCATTGTTAACTTTAAGACGTGGACGGTGCGGAGAATGGGCGAATGTTTTCACTCTTTTTTGTCGAACATTAGGATATGATGCAAGATTTATATACGATCGAACAGATCACATTTGGACAGAGGTGTGTAATGGTCACTGCCCTTACGTAAATGGAAAATATATGCAAAGGTACTCGTTAACTCATTGCAGTATAGAAACCTTATGTTCAAAAGTGTTTTCACAATTGTACTCTTTAAAAAATGTACAATAAATGTTGAATTAATTGAATAATCAATACATTAATAACTTAGGTATGGTCAATACACGAAAAAAAATGGATTCATCTAGATCCATGTGAAGATGTTATGGACAGGCCATTAATGTATGAAAAAGGTTGGAAAAAAAAATTATCCTACATAATAGCTTTCTCAAAAGATGAAGTACAAGATGTTACTTGGCGATATACGCGTGATCAACAAACTGTAATGAATAGAAGGAATATTTGCTCTGAAAATAAGCTGTTACAATTCATTGAATCACTGAATAAATATCGTCAATCTTTACCAAATTATAGTGCCTCTCGCAAACAATATGTTATAAAACGAAGACTTTTAGAGCTTGTAGAATTGATACATGTTCCAAACAAACAGAATTTTGATGATGAAAATTACAAAGGACGATCTACTGGTTCTTATGAATGGAGATTAGCAAGAGGAGAAATTTCTGAAGTATATAGAAATAGTTATTTTCCATTTTACTAATTAATTAAATAGTATCACTAATATAAAATTTTCTTAATTAAATATTTCAGTCAAATATAAAAAAAAACTATTTTTGGAATATCTCGGAATATGGAGAGACATTTCATCTGCAATATTCTATTATTAAAGATATATATGTAATAAGAGATAATGATGGTAAAATATTAACAGATATAACAGGTTGGGAAAATGGAACGAACGAAATAGAAGGTGGAATGTTTCGAAAAGTAGAACACGATTGGAAAATTGTATATTTATGTCGTTCTACAACAGCAATTTCTGGTAAGATTAAATGGTGCTTTGTAATCGCAAATCCAAATTTGTACGTGAGAATATTTCATTTACAAGCTATCAGTAAAGTATTTCACGACGGTAATGTATCGTGGGAGTTGGAAGCATTTTTCAATAATGCAAATGAAAACAAATCTGTAGTTTTATTCATTAGCGACATTTCTAATTATTACACAGATCAAGTAAAAGGAGCAGTGAAGTTAATTCTTACAGCAACTGTTTCTGGTGGTCAAGGTGATTGTGCATGGCAACATGCACAACTTTTTCGACAAAATTTAGAAATTGGAGATGATCAATCTTTATCAATTGATATTGAATTAGAAAAGTAATTCCAGAATTGAATTGTTTAATTTGACTAAGGAATTTTAAATTTTATATGCTTTAGCCATATTTTGTGCATATTCATCAATAATGTTATCAAACATATCAAGATAAATTAATTCTATTTTAAAATTGATAAAAACACATTCCACATTTAAAAATTCTTTCTTTTTAAAAAAATTATATTTAAGTTTATATTTTATAATTAAATAACAAGAAAATTTTTAAAATTTGTGTAATAAAATTTGCAAATATTGAATAAAATTATAAAATTAGATTGTTAATTAATATTGCAAATAAAAACTAACTTTTGGGCTTCGTAAGCTTGAAAATATTTATTTCATATACAAAATAAGCAAACTGTTGATGGCATTTTATGAAGATATTTGATAAATGTTATGTCTTTATGATTAATGATTTTATAAGTATTGATAATATGTAAACACAATTTATTTTTATACATATTTTATCTTTCTTTTTTTTATTTTTTTATTTTTTTTTTTTGTTTNAATATACCTTCTAATATACCTATATTTCTCATATCATAAAAACAGTAATAACTATTATTTTATGGTCACATATATACTCCAAAATTATTATTTATTTCTTCTATTATATTTATTTTTATTTTTTATTATGTATAATAATACGTCGTTGTATTAAATTTGTAATATATATTATTATAAGATGCAAAATACTAAAAAAAATTGATATCCATGTATCATAAGATACTAAGGTAATCATATTTTTGAAATAAAATTCATACTTTGAATAGTTTAGTCATTTTCAAAAAAATATGATGAGAATTAATGAAATGATTATAAATAATTTTATATAATACATTAACGAAATTAATAATATAAGTTAACATGACAATGAAATTATATTAAACGGGAAACGTATTACATTCATATTCAAAAATGCAAAAGGAACGTAAAATATTTATATTACAACATATAAAGATGGAGTGCAACAAAGTTACTGAAATATATAAACAAAATAAAGTGCAATCAAAGTCAAATATGTTCTTTTATAATGTATCTCTTTTTTCATTTAAATTAACTCTTTTATCACACGATATAATTTCAATATTTAACTTTTCCGTTTAATGTTATTTACATTAGCATGTATGTATGTGTGTGTGTGTGTGTGTGTGTGTGTATACACACACACACATATATGTATATCCTAGCTAATTAAATCCTTAAAGCTGACATAATGTTATGTGTACATTCACATAATTAATATTCATACATGTACATACAAAAAATATTCAATTATCTACATCGTCATAAAACATTCACGATTGTTTAAGTAATAAATTAGCCATTTAATCCTTTGTGTTAATACTAAATAATATTGCTCGAAAAAGATGTATAAAATAATAGATAGGCACTGGTATTTTGAGACCTTACTTGATTTACCGAAACTTCTGTAACTGTTTGATCGTCATATTTATACCATCTGAAAAAAATCATATATTTGATCAAGATTTGATAAATCATATATTTATATCATTTCAAATAATTATTATGTTCTTTTATTCATTATCTTAGAACTCTATAGAATATATGAATAAAAAGATAGAAAAATAATTTACTTACTTATTCTGAGCGGCATTTTTACAGAAGGCCGTGTAATGACCACCTTCCATAGTTCCATAATGATTAGACATTGCATATAAACTATAACTATAACTATAACTGCGAATATTTGAAATTGTAGTACTATTATTATCTGTCACTAAATATGGTTTTAGATTGAAATCCGTTAGAGGAAAATCAACAGCGGTATTTCGTTTCTCGAGCCATCCACCACTTTCAGCGAAACGGTTTAAATGTATGACTATGATAGGCGCTAATTTAACAAAGTCGAATTTTTTTGTAGCTTCTCGAGCTGTTTGACATTTCGGGCATTTCCATCCTACCACTTTTTGTCCGCTTACAAATTTTAAGATGCAATCCTATGAAAAAAATTTCTAGTAAACATGTACAGAAAAAATTACTTTTTGCTTGAAACTTTAAAAGAAAAAATTGAAAATCGAATTTACATTTAATGTACATCGATTGGAGTGAAGTAATGACATTGTTAAACTATTAAAAGTCTCATATGTCGTACTACTTTGCTTGCAAAAACTGCATGTAATAGTGGATCTTAATTGCCCGAAAAATAAGTCAGATATTATGGATCTTTGTGATCCCATTGCCTTATCCCAAGCCTTTTCGGCTATTGTCATTTCCAGAGGCACTTTACAATTCTATGAATATAAAAATAAAGTTACAAAATTTAAATTAGATTAAATTTTTTCGAAATTTAATGGTAACAAAATAGAATATTACCTTCTTTAAATCATTATGCATCCAATCTAGAAGAAAAGTGAGAAATTCATGAGAATCCTGTTGCTCATAACTTTCAAATTGTAATTTATATTGTCCCACAGCGATCTAATAATTATAAATCATATTTAGTACATATATATACATATATATGAATCTAAAAGTATAATTAAAAATATAATTAAAAAAAAATGAATAAACATTATACTTATTAACATTTTAGAAATAAAAAAATCTTTTTAATTTCTTTTTTTATAAAAATATTATTTATATCTTTTGTAAATCTTTTTATAAAAAGTAAAAAAATATCAAACCTTAAGATCGTGTGGTGATATGCTCTTGTATTGACCTCTCCAAAGTGCTTTAATCACTTGAGCTACTTCTTCTACAACTTGGCCTTGCATATTATTATCATTATTTATATTTAAGTCATCAGCATATAAATTATCCATGAAATATTTAGCTAAATGCGTGGTATTACTTAAGCACTGTATAATACTATTCATATAACATGAATTGCCTAAATTTTTCAATCCTGTAATACCTGGATGCTGTAACACGGTAATACAAAATACATTGTATCAAATATTTCACGTTTTATTGACAACTTCATTGATTCTTTTAATAAAAAATTATTTAATGATTTTTTATGTAACAAAAATCAAGAATTATATTTTCCTTTATTATTATCGTGTCATTATATTCGAAAATTATCAATTACCTTTTTAAAATAATAAACATTAAAATTCGATATAAGTTTTCTAGACAAATTTACCATTTTTCATTTACACTTTATTTGATTACAACTATACTCTTCCAGATGTTTTAAAATGAAAATGAAAAATAAATTGTAATTGATCATTCTATATTAACACAATGAGCACAATCTTATTAATTAATATATTTATAAATTCAATGTTATAATATTTTATATTATATTATTGTATTTATATTTATTGTAACTTTTGATTAGTTATAGAAATGAATGTTACCATAAAGTATTTAATGACGATAATCAAACAAATACTGACAAATACTATGACGCGTTACTTTGAACAAGTATAAATTGGATTGAGAAGCCATAGAGGAAAGTAGAAAATATTTCTACTTTATATTCACGTGTTTATTTTTCATACAAAATCGAAAAATCACGTAATTCTACTGTAGAATTTTAAATTATATTCTAACTATTTTAATACTTAATTGATATTTTATATATTAGATACATACATATATTTTATTTAAAATAGGGTTTAATTATATTTAAGTTTATATTATATTATTTATATTAAGTTTATACATATCTAATATTCTAATTCATTTTAGTTTATTTTAATTCATTCACGTGGAAACGTGTAAACACGTGACTATCAGTAATTATTGATGAAAATTTAAATGATAAGAATGAGAATTGATTCTTTGAACTTTTTTAAAATTAAATTTTAATTTTTTCTTTTTGTTTTTAATTTTTGAATACTATAAATACTTACTACACTTCCATGAACAGGTGTCATTCTTTCTTCACGATTTGCCCAACTTAAATGAGATACTTTATTATCACCGTAAGTTCCATTTTGATTGTACGACGAGACTTGTGGCTTTGAACTTCTATCTATTTGTGGTGCTTTACGATCTGTCAACTGAATATTTTATGAAAGAAAAAAAGAAAGAAAAAAATTGTTTATCTATTTTTTAAATTGTTATTCTTTTAATTATTTGCATTGATACTGATTCACAAATATAAATATAATATTATGTATATTTTATCTGAGGCAAATAATGATCACTATAAATGTAACTATAAATATATTGTTTACGAATAAATAACTGTGAACATGGAAGATATGTTATTTCAGTGCAAATGGTTAATTAAAAAATTTACCTGTAACAAATTTGGACTAGAATATGAACGCTCTAAATTGCTTCCCACTGAAGAATTATCTGATTTTAGAGGTTCCTTATGAATGTTAGTTTCATTTTCTTTTATCGACAATTCTTTATAATTATTTTTCATAGATATTCTATTAATAAAAAATATATAATATATAATACTGTAAATGCAATAATTAACATGATATTTTTATACTCACTCTTGTAATTTTTTTCGATCTGCAGAAGTATCTTTCATTCGACGTTTTAGTAAAGCGAGAGTAAATTCGAGATTTCCTTTTTCGTTTTCTTCTGCAGGATTAAATTTAATTGATTCTATCTTTGTATAATATTTAGTAAGTTCATCTTCAATTTTTTTATATTCTTTTTGCTGTAAAAAGCAATTATTAATTAAATAATAATGATTTAATATTATTTTTATTAATTTTATTAATTAATTTGTTTATTACCTTTTCTTCCAATTTTAAACATAAAGATTTTACATTACTATGAATGTATTCTTCTTCATTTGAACTTTTATATTTCATACCATGTTGCATGTACAAAGTGCGTTCTTGTTCTAAAATTTCTTGTTCCAATTCTTGTTTACTTTTTGCTAATTCATTTAATTGTTTCATTAATTTCAAAACTGATTTCGATTCGGACGTAGATGTGTCCAAAGCAACTGGTTTATTACTTCTATCTACTATTGGTTTTGCAGATATAACATTTTTTTTCATGATATTCATTGAATTTCTTTTGTGTTGAAATTTCAATGAATTATCGTACTGTCGTAATTTTATATTGTCTTTAGGAACTTTTCCTATTTCAATAGAGCTATCAATAAAATTCTTAGAGCGTGTTGAAATATTATTACTTATTTCCGTTTCCATATGTTTGTACCACATTTTATCGTTTGTAATGCTAACTTTTGATGTAATTTCATTATTACTTATTGGTTTTAATTTAATTGATTTATTTTCATGTGATTTAATAATATTTTCTTCTTCATCAAAATGTATCAATTCAGGGTACTCTATATTATCTAATATTTCATCTGGGACATTATCTAAAGTAGGTTCTACAATATTAGGATTTGTTGTAAATGCTGGATAACGAGTTATCCATTCTGCATAACCACCATCTAGAATAGCAATTCTTTTATATTTTATACCAGGATCCCAATCTTCTAAAATTTTTCTTAATATATTTAAGGAATTTTCAGATGTCAATGTTTTACTTGATGTATCCCAATCAATTAGAATTATAACATCGACATATTGTGCTCCTCTATGCCTAAATAAATCTAATGCTTTTTTATCTTTATGAAGATATTCTTCAAAATGCGATGTTAATGCACTAAAATTAAATAAAAAAAATTAAATATTTTAATTTTTAAATTGTTTTTGATAATATTTTTACTTACCCAGGTTTTATTTTGTTATCAGGAATGTTAACAGATTTGTCAGATAATATTCTTGAAGTTTCAAATTGCAATTTAGGTCTTATATCAATAATTAAATATCTACCATCTACTTTATGCATTAATTGGAATAACTGATCACAGTTTATAATTTCTTCATTATCACTGACCAATGGATCTCTGGTTGGTGTTTCAGGTAATTTTATTGGACCATCAATAGGAGTCATATAGGTTTCTGTTCCACTTTCATTATCTATATCCATTTTATCTGCAATATTATTTTTTTCTAACATCTTTTCTTTTAATTGCACTTTGTACCGTGCATCTAATTTTCGATTTAAATCTCCAAGTATTTTTTTTACTTCATTGATCTAAAAGAAATGTTATAATGTTTTATTTGTATATATAAATTATCCAAAAATTAATATTAACATAGCACCTCAAAATTTTACATTTGGAATACCTTTATTTGTGAATGATAAGTTTAATAAAACATACGCCACTCCCCACCTGATTCACATGCATATTTGTTAAGGAGAATGTTTTGTCATCTTTATATTCTTGTGTGGTTTTCAACCAATCAATACAATTCAACCATCTCCTTAACATGATGTATTGATTCTCCTCATCTCCTCGTATTTTGGCATTCTCAGCCAAATTAAACATATCAGGAAGCCTTTTATAAATATCAGATGGTCTTTTCCCTTTGTAATTAATTCTGGCTATTTGCAATAGATCTTTTATACTGGTATAACGTAAAGGTGTTTTTTCAGTCATTTTAATTATTTTCACTGTTATAAATCTTGATTTACTTAAAAGAATAGATATTCTATATAATATATTTTATATTTTATATATCATCCTAAAAATATGGAATTATAATAAATATGAAAAAAAATAGTATAATTTATGTATAAAAATTATGTATAAAAATTTGAAATGAATATTTATATTCATATATATATATATAAATTTCATTTGGAATACATAATTTTATAAATTGGCATAATCAGTAAAAAAATCGCTAATATAATTGAGATTGGTTACCTTTTCACAATTATGGTTACCAATTCTTATAAATAGGTAAATTTTAATATTAGTATTTTTTATGATAATATAAGAAAAATCTCACAGAATGACATTTCTATTTGTAAGTAGAAATGTCAAAATTCTGTAAACACTTTGTTCTTCAACAAAATTGTTCGATTAAATAAAGTACTACCGCTTTTCTACATCTTAGTAACATGACGTTCATTGTATCATTGGCGCCCTCTAATATTTTGCATAAAGAAACTTATAATATATTATAAATTAATTAATTAATTGATATTTCGAGTACCATATAGATTATCAATGATCTGCAATATTCCGAAAAGAAAATCATTAAATAAGTTTATTATTTAATTTATTATTAAAATAAAATTATAAATAGAATAAAGACGGAAAAATGATATAAATTATAAAATTTTTTTCTATTTGCAATTAAATTTTTTAAATATAATATTTGAATTCATAATTTAGTTTTAAAATATTTAATAGATATTTAATAGATATTTAATAGAGATTTTACACATTTTACACATATTATACATGAGCATAAAAATAAAGTAAAATATAAAATATATAGTATCTAACTAAAAAAATTTAGTAAAAATATAGTAATTTTAAATAACAAGAAAATATTATTTTTAATTATATCTTATGGTTTTATTAAATAATTTTACTTTTTTAAATTAAATAAAAATTTTTATATATATTTCTAAATATACTTCCATTATTTTTATATAGTTAAAAAATTTATTAAGATGGTACTAAACTCTTATTTTGACTTCTAAAATTATGAAAGCCAAGCAGTTTTTAATTTTGTAATTTTTTAGTGTTAGAAACTTTAGTTTTAAAATTTTTTAGCTCATAAATAAATGATAAAAAATTAATTTATTACAAATTTATATAATCTTATAATATAATCATATAAATAAATCGATTTAAGATAAAAATAGTTTGTATTTAGAATCAATTATCATTTTTAATAAATTATATTTTGTAGGATAATTATATAATCACATTATACTTGCATTATAATAATTATTATTAATATTATTGTTACATTACATACTAATAATAATAATAAAAATTAAAAAAAGAATCATATGTTCATTAATATTCGTAATATTCGTAATTCTATAATTTAGTAATTTTTCTTAATTTAGATTATTTAACTTTATTATTTCCTTCTTTGAAGCTTTATTTGATTAATTCAGAAAGATATAATCAGTTTGAAAAAATATATTTATAGTATAATAAATATATTTAATTATACTATAGAATGCATTGATATGATTTTTTTTTGAGGTTAGAATTTAAGAATTGATATAATGGTATAATGGTTTTAAAAGAATATTAATATAAAAATTAGAAATAAATTTTTGTTTAATAATACAATTATATTTTGCAATTATTTATAATTTTTTTAAATATATTTTTAAAAATCGGAAAAAATATTACTATGCATATTATCAAATTTTTATTTATAATTTACTTTAGATCGATTAATTTTGAATCGATTATAATATATATTCATTTAATAGTATAATAATAATAGTATAATAATAATAATAGTAAAAATAATAATTAATATATTGTACTATAGTTTTAAAAAAAAAATTATTCTTTTTCAAATTTTTAAATTTAATGTTCTTTAAAATAATAACAATTTTAAAATAATATTTACGACATATTTGAAATATTAAAAAATTTCTATACGAAGTGATTTTTTTTTCTTAAATATTTTATAAATTTTTTTATATATTTATATTATAAATTTTGTATTATAATATTTTATATTATAAATTTATATATATTTTTTAATTTATAAAATAAAAAAATCAAATGAATTTCAATGAAATATATACAGCATCAAATAAGTAAATATCTAATTTTGTATATATACTCAAAATCTTGATTTATAGAATTAATTTATAAATTAATATTTTCTTTTATTAATATTTTATAATTTCTTATTATAAATATATGATATTAAATTAAATGTTATATTAAGTTTTATCTTCATATTTATATAAGATATTTTTAATAATTAACATAAAATGTTAATTATATAATATATTCTAATA